TGGACAGCACCTAACAAGAGGAGTAAATAAATAAATCAGTCTCTTAGCCCCACTCTCCGAAGACCTTTGTTCCCTGATTAGGAGCCTGGCTTCTATTGTTAACTTTCATATCGTCCTTATCTTAGTTTTGACTTCTGGTTCAAACTAACCTGTTTAGTTTTCTCTCTCAACAGTCTCTAAACTGAGGTCTCTGGCCCAGTGTGGCTCATCTACTTCTTTCAACTTCTTATTCTTTTCTTATTCTTGTTCAACCCTGCTCCTCTTTGCCCTTTCTAAAATGCCAAACTGGCATATGTTTTCCTTTTTACCATCCTGCTCATTTTTTGGGGTGTCCAGATCTTGGATGCTGCAAGAGGTGAACGTGCCTGGCTGCTAACTGAGAGGTTGGAAGTTTGAGCCCACCCAGAGGTAACTTCCAGGAAAAACCTGGGAATCTGCTGGTGAAAAACCAGCCATCGAAAATCCTAAAATGAGCACAATTCTATTCTGACACACCTAGGGTCTATTCTGACACACCCAGGGCTGCCATGTATTGGGATTGACTCAATGTCAGCTGTTCTCAAACAGACCCCCACGGACCAATGCTGTGAATTAAGCCAACTTCTTGGTAGCATGTATTGAGCCTGGCTTTTAATTTAAGACATGGCTCCTATGCTCCAAAAACTGAGTGAAGTTGGAAATTGGGCAGATATATACATACCCTACACATAAAATGAACTCACTTGACCCAGGGACCAAAACAAAGTCTGGCCTCCCTCTGTTACAATGCAGCACCTCACTCTTTCCGCTGTGTTCACAGCATCCTCCCAAGTGTGAGTGTGACTTGAAACCACACGCACAAACATTTTACCTCCTGTCTACACCGGCTTCTGAAATCCTGTCAGATTTCAAGTTTTAGGGTCACCTGCCCAAGACCTCTTGTGTCTCCTGTCACCAGGCTTTAGGAGCTGGGTCTGGGCTCTTGCAAGGGCTCCCTAACTGCTCTTCTTCTTGTCAGTCTTCATCCAGTGCATAGAAAGGGATCTTGGAGCTCAGAGTAAGCAGCATGTTCATGGCAGTGCAGAACTAGGTTCAAAGCCATTTCAGGTTTGCCTCAAATCCAGCACATTTCGACGAGACCCACTTAGTCTTTTTTCTATCTTGCCAGAATTTTACATGTTCTTTTATTATGGCTATTTAGGAAACGGTCTTATGCTTATTTTGAGATTCTGTGCTCTCCGAGGGAAGGCTGTTTAAATCCTGCTTATATTCTAGGAAATGGCTAAGCCAGTTCCTTGCAGTTAGTAGGCATTTCAAGAATAGGTACTGAGCTGTTTGTGGGAACTCTTTCATGATGGTGATGGGGGAGACTAGTTTAGGAGAGCAATTTAGAGAAGGCTTCCAGGAGAAGGAAATGGTTTTTGAGTTGGGCTTGAATGAGAAGATACTTGGATAGGCAGAGAGGAAGGGGTTGATCTGTGGTGGGCCTCAGCATAATAATATTAATGTGCAGAAGGAGGATGGCTGGGGCTCCCTAGTGTTATTGCATAGGGTCTAGCTGTGCACATGGGAAAAGTGCTTGTTGAGGGTCTTCTCTTTTGATAACCTATTTTACCAAGCATGAAGTCCTTCTCCAGCGACTGGCCCCTCCTGGTAACTTGGCCAAAGAATGTGAGATAAAGTCTAGGCATCCTTGTTTCCAAGGAGTTTGTGGCAGTTACATAATCTGGTGTCAATCTGGGAGACTGGAGAGGATTAAGAGTGAAGGGGTGGAGTCTAGCCTGTCAGTTGGGTCATAGCCAATGAGGCCTCTGTGTGGGCGTGGCCTTCTCCTGGGAATTCAGGGAAATCCAGTATTTCCTACTTGGAGGCAGGAGACACTTCTCTCTCTCTGCTCACTCCCTGGGAGACATTGCAGCTGACAAGGCACATGGAACTACACCAGTGTCCTGAGCTGGAGAAGCCACATGGACCTACCTTGATGCAACCAGACCTCCGAAGCTGGAGAAGCCATGTAGACCCCTGTCAGTGCTTAGATGCTTACGGTGCCACTGGATCCAAAGACTTTCTACCCACTGGCCTGTGATCATCCCGTGTTTGGCATCATTGCATGTGTTTCATGAGTCTGAAGAGGATTTTTTGGTTGGTATCGGACATATGGGCTAATATCAGACTTCTGGGCTTGGACTGGACTAGGTTGGGATGCTTAATGTACACTTACCCTTTATATAAAAGTGTCTCTTACACACGTATGAGTTTCCAAGGATTTGTTTCTCTAGTCTACCAGACTAACATGAGCTTTTTGGCTACACTTCTTCTAAGACAGATTTGTTAGTTTTTCTGGCTAGTCAAAACCCAACCCAACCCACTGCTATCGAGTCTATTCTGACTCATAGTGACCCTACAGGACTGAGAGAATGGCTCAACGGGGCTCCCAAACCTGTACATCTACAGACGTGGCTGTGGGTCCCAGCTGCTGACACTTAACTCACTGCACCACCAGGGTCTGTGTTTGTCTGGCAGTCCATGGTATATTCAATATTTGCTGCCAACTTAATTCACAGGCACCAATTCTTTGGTTGTGGGTGAAGGATGAGGCTTTCTGCTTCTGTAAAGGGGTATAGTCTTGGAGCCCCACAAGTGCAGTTCTACCGTACCCCACAGGGCCACTCTGAGTCAGAGTTGACTCGATGGCAGTGCGAACCCTTGGGTCCTCCTTATTCACTGTCCAGAATTCACACACCTATGTGGAGACTAAAAAGATCATGGCGTGAGTCAGGCACATCTTAGTCCTCCAAGTGACACGCATCCTTTCTCTTCCACATTTTAACGAGGTCTCATGCAGCAGATTTGCCCAAAGCAATAGGTCATTTGATTTCTGCTTCCACAGGTGTTGATTGTGGATCCACGTAAAACGGAATCTCTGGCCACTCCAATCTTTTCTGTTTATCATGCTGTTGCTTATGGGTTTTGTACTCTATGTAAACTCACTTGGCACAGCCAGGGGCAAAATAAGTGCAGAAGAATGGGTAGATCATAGAGCTGATCATCCTGGTGACAGCTGTGAAGCCCCATGGGGAGGGCTTACAAAGACAAAGTCCCAGGCCTACCTCAGACCTGCAGAATCAAACTCTGGAGGTGGGGCTTAGCAACCAGTCCTTTCCTCTGCCCGCCTAACAGATTCTGATGTAACTCCAGGTTGCCAACACCTGCGGTCGGTTAACAGTGGGCCACTGAAAAATTATGGACAGTAGAGCTTGGTGGGTTTCAACCTTCAATTTTTAATTTAGCTGCCAATCTCAAACCACTTGTTCTATCAGGTTAATTACACGAACTACTGACGAGTTTTCGTCGCTGCAGGAAGTGAGCTAACCCTAGTGATCCTTAGGCACATAACACTTATGGCCCCAAATACAGGGTCACCTGAGCGCAGGAGGGTGAGCTGGACAAGGCCGGTGGAGGAGCTGTCCTGGATTGAGCTACCTCGTCTCTGGGACAGGGCAGCCCAGGGATGCTCCCATAATACAGCAAGCGCTACCGTGTCACAATTTTATTCTGGAACAAACCACGTAGGAAATATCGGAACTGAGGATCTTCAAGGTATCCTATCAGGTGGTGCTGGCGGAGGGGCAGAAATGTGCGAGAGGGGCAAGGGTGGACCCCCCCCTCCGCTTGGATACACCCCTTTCCTCATCCCTTCAGATCCAGCCGAGCACGGCCGGTCACATCTGTCTGAGAGACTGACGGGTTCGTCCGCCTCTTGGCATTCAGGGTCCAAGTTCATTTTCCTTGATTGATGGTTCGCGCGAGGCGGGGGCTTTTGCTCACCCTCAGCACCGTCCCGGGGACCTCGCAGCCCCTTCCCTCCCTCTGGGACCGGCCCCCGCTCTCGCCACCTTGGGGGCGGCGAGCGGGAGGCCCCACCCTCGGCACCCGGTGTCCCGTCCGGGCCGGCGGCCGGGCCATTGTTCCGGCCCCACCCCTGATGAATATTCACGCAGCGCGGGGCGGCGGGCGGACGCGCCCCGCGCCTTCCCCTGCAGGGCCGCCGGCTGGGCGTGCGTTTCCGCTCGCTTTTCCTGCCGGAGAAGGCAAGGGGGAGCTGTTTTCTCGCTCTTCATCCTAGATTTTTGGTGTCCCGTTTCCCCTCCTCCTTTCTCGCCGCCGCCTCCTCCCTCTCCGCCTCCGCCTCCCG